TCTGGTTTGTTTCCTTTGGCACCCAACACTGCGCGCTTGACCAAGCAAATTCTGTGCTACAGGCACGCGTATCCGTGAAATAATGTTTGCTCAACCAAAATGTCTTCTGCCCTTGGTGGCCTGCTGCAGCATGGTCATGAAGAGTGTACAGCAAGTGCGTGACACACTCAAGAAAGTGCGGTAAGCAAATACATGAAGTACAGTGAATTCACCCACGTAGGCAAATGGGGCTAGGAACGGAAAACCAGACGCCAGTTGCTGAGCTCTAGTCAAGGAACACCCACAGCACGTCGTGTCGCCTTGGCGTAGGCCTCGCGGAGTGCTGACCATTTTGGGTAGGAAATAGCCCATAGTTAAGGACTAGTCCGTCGCTGGGGCTCACGTGCTAAGTCCGCCCAACCTTCGCGGGAAAAAGTTGTAGGCATCTAATTGACTGGGGAGTCCTGAAGTCTACCACCGCCCTGCAATATCGCTGAATTTTCCAACGGCGACGTTTTGACTGTTCGGTTGCCATGAAAAGCCAAGCTAGTAAGTCTTGGGAGAGGCTTGAAAGATGAGGGCGACCCAGCGAGCTCTCAGGTGCTTGGTATGAGGGGTTTCGTGACAGCACGTAAGCCTGTTGGTTCCTCGCACCCAGTAGTGTTCGTAGGGTATCATAATTCCGCCAGGAAGTCCACCCATCAAGCTGTGCCACTCATTAGGGCATCTCATTAAACTTGCACTTGCGGAAGTTGAAGCAGAATTGTTGCATGAGAAAGATACTGACAGCGTGTCTCAAGAGATCGAAGTGTCTAGCTAGGTCCTGGATATGCATGAAGGTGCAACCCAAGAATGCAATAACAGCCAGAACCAACTGGCCAAGTGAGTGCTATAAAGAGGTGTTGATGCTGGTCTGACAGATCTCTGGAGCGTCGTGCAGGTTGACTGTCCCGATTTTGTATTCGTGTAACCCCAAAACTAGAAGGAACGCCGTTTTCCACCTTGCCTTCTTCCTCTAGTGAACCTGGTGGAAGCACACTTCAAAGTCTACTGCAGAAAATTATTCGGCTGCCCCTAACATATCTGAGATAGTCTGGCCAGTGGGCATAGGGAAACTGACGGAGGCTGCGAGGGCACGTAACACCTGGCAATTAACCATTCTGTGTATTCTCCGTTCGCCAGCACCTTCACCTTTCTTTGTGCCGAGTGGTGTCAAGACGTAGATGAGAGAATACGTAAGTTCTATCCACCCACTAGCGGATAATTTATCGATTCCATTCTCGTGGTGGGCGAGGTTATCAAGGGATATGCAGTAAATAGAGGAATGCGCATCGGTCCGACTAAGCAATAACACGCTGAGGTGATCATGAGTGCACTTTGGTGGGAGAATGGCTAGCACTAAATCAGGAAATGCGTTTGGGAGTGACATAGCACGTCGGGGGATACTTGCTCGTGGCGGCCTAGGTGAACAAGGGTTTCCGCTTGATTGCTTCGGCCGCCACACGCAAGGAATCGTCAAATTATCTGCTAGTGGGTGCATAGAATAAACGAATTTTCTCATATGCGTCTCTTTATCACGGCGCTGTGGCGTGCGTTTTACCATTGTGTGTCAATTCATCAAATATCGTGCATGTAAGAATCGCATCTGGTCATGGCGACACCCTATCGTTTTCATCATGGTAGGGTGCGCTGTCCCGGAGTGGCCTTTCCCTGAGCCAAGAGTACAGGCACCTGCCGTTAGTCGCAAAGCCGTAAAGCTCCCCGTCAGATCGTGTAACGCGATATTTTACTTAGCCCTGGCAGTGGTCCACTGAGGTGTTCCCTGTTCGCGCAAGACAGTTTTTCTGGTTCGTTCATCTGCTCCTTCCTCTTTGTTAGCACACGGGTGTTCTATCGCTTATGGGGTGGGCGTAGAATTTCCGCGGCCTCCTCTGCTGTCATGCGTGGTACGCGCAACTGCATCCCCAACGCCGGGTCTTGGGGACTAGACCCCGCTTAAAGACCGTTTGACAAGCATTCATCTCCGCTTCACAATGCCGGCTCCGCTTCCCGACCCATAGCAGCCCGTTACTACTTGCTGGGGTAAGGATTCGTTCCTGCGGGGGCCGACGGGTTTTAACCTGATATCGGCCAATGCAAACTGCGTGCATGAAGCACCCCAAAGCACCATTCTCCAAAGACGTTTCGCTCGTGTGACCAATAGCTTCTACTCGGGCGACTACTGTCATACCGAAGCCAGATAGTCCACCTGGTGCTTCACCGATCCTCTCCTCCCACACCAACTCTCCCCGCCACTATGGCCTAACCTTTTCGACTTCGGAGTGGTCAGCACCATGTTCTGGGTCTGTCTTGATCTCGCCATCAGTTATTTGTTGACTGCCCACTACAGCGTCTATCTTTCGCCTCCGTTCACTTTTTGCTTATTGGAGTATCTCTTCGGAGTATACGGCTCTCTCCTGGTATTTACCCCTGCCTACCTGCAGGCCTACCCTCCACTTGTGGGAGACTCTACTAACGTCGAGGCAGGACGCAACTTTTCATAGGTAGTATCCTGTTGTTACTTCTTCTAATCAAAGTCTGTCTGCGTTCTCACGTGCCCATCAACGCCTCAGCTTTTTTGCTGAAATGCTGCTTTCTCTCTGTTATAACTGGCTCCAAATCTTCTGGCCCTTGGCGACACCCCGACAATGGCCTGGGCGAAATTGGAGCAGTCTTGCTCACAGTGCCCTTCCCTTGCGCGCATGTTGCTCATTCCTCCAGTTCGCTGTCTCCTGTTGGGCAGGAAAGCACACAGCCGTAGTGTGCGCCCCTTGCCCCTACACTAAAACGCGTGTATTCTCTCTCAATTCGGTGATCACAAGGTTTCCATATTACACTCTCCTTTGGTGCCCACTCTCAGTGGGTGTATTTGTTTGCTAGCGTGATAGGCTAGCCTGTTGGGTGTCGTTAATACCAACCTTATACCTACGTTCCACAGCTACGTTCGGTGCGCCTGCCTTCTCTTGCCGGAGAAGACGAGGAACTAATCATGCGGTGGGTTATATTCGAAATAGGTCACCAGCTGGTTGAGAGGAATAGGATCGCCCTAGGCAAGTGCACAAGAACCTTGGGTAACTTATTCTGTGGAGTCTTCCCCGTATCTAATGTCGGACAGTTTAGTCGTTATTCTCACCAGAAACGCCTCACAAAACCTGATCTTTGTTTCTTTTTGGACTGTGCCCCAATCTTCCAATGTGTTTTTGTATCCGTACAAGAAATGGGAACTTGTCTTACGGCCCTGTATTTGCAGCTATCAGCATCTCCAAGACAACTGACTTTGTGTAGAAAGTTTTCACCAAGCAGGCGTTCGAACGCGCGGGCGCTCACCAACCAGGACGTCAATTCATCTCAGCACCGCAGAAAGTATGCTATTCGGTCACCCGCGCCGACCTACCCGTCGACGGTACACCAAGTATCACTCGGCATCCGTTCACATGACTATTTGGGGGACACAAATATGGCTTTACTTACAATTATCCGCACAAACGCTGGCCCACGCCCACATTATCCACCCGCCAAGACGCACCCGCCCATACACGCCCACTTTGCCATCAGCTAAGCACATGCATGCACATGAATGCTCCTACCTACATCAGCAAGGGAGTATACCATGTTCACCTTTCCTACTAAGCCAAGTAACCATAGACAACTGCCGAGCAGTCTTGGAAGCATTGTCTTTCAAGAGTGTTCTTAGGTTGTCTGTAGAAGTGCTTTCCTCGCCCAGTATTGCTTGGTATGGTATCCCAAGGCCCTGAGAACAACTTCACTCGCAGCAAGAGCCAACGTTTCTTCCTACGGCCGATTTGATTAGCTCGTTTCCTAGGTGCAGGGTTCTGGACGAGAGCGCCCATCCTCGCATATCTCTTCTATCGTTTAGGCGTGGTTTTGCCCGAAACCCGCCCGACTAAAGCGTGCTATCAAGTGTAGCAACCTCGTGTAGAAAATCTGTTGATTAGTCTTGACCTTTGCCTTTGTTGCAGCGTCAAGTCTCTCGCCTGAGGTGGTGCATCTCCTACGTCTTGTCGGACCACCACGCTAACGGCTCGAACAGCAAATATTCTTCTCTACAGTACCGGTGCCTCTAGCTATTTTCCTTAGGTGCAACTGACTCACCAGAAGCAGCTTTGCAGGTGGCTGAAGAGGAGTGCCTGGGAGGGTCGGACTACACAAAGTAGAAATTCTTAGCTCCTGTTTTCCAGAAGTAGGGAGGCACTTGCACTGCCCAGTATATCATGTCCTGCGCATTTGTACCATCCATTCTGTCCTCCCACAAACCGTACATTGTACAAACTTGGTCCACTTCCCGAGCTCTCGGAATGCGATCAGTGACGGCCACTTGGTTATGCAGCAGATATTCGGGCTAGCTCATCTGCCATTGTGATCAATAGACGGCGGCGCAACAGCATCAGGCGGAGGAACTTCAGGCTCAACCAGTTGTTTAGAGGAGCTCTTTCTCTTCTCGAATGCACAAATCAAATAATCTGGAAGCTATGGCGTTCTCTGGTTAGTTGGTGAGGAAAGATGGCGTGCGCACCCCAAGTTCGAAGGTCTATCCCGTCAAACGTGCAATCTGTGTTGAAAGCAGCCAGGCAGTCAGTAGTAATGTTGGTTAACTATTTTGTCGGTTGTCCTCAGATGCTAATAGGCACCGTTTGCCACTTCTGTGCAGGAATCGGGAGGCTTTATCATTAAAATAGATGACAAGACGCACGCACCCGCTTTGCACCGTTGCTTTGTATGCTGCCCATTAGGAAGGCTCATGCTTTACGAGACAAGCACCGCTAGGCAAACCCCCCGGCAGGAGATGGCAGTACACTGGTGCTATGCAGTGAAACAGATTTTGGATGTTGATACAAGAAAAAATCATGGGGCAGACGCCGGGTACAAGCATTTCTGGGCAAAGTCTCTGATCGAACAAGTGCACGTCTTTTGCTGTCTCATTGCGCAGTGTAAGAAAAACTGCAGGAAGAGGACTGTACGCATCAAAACCGTTTGTTGACTTCTCCCTTAGAACATCTTTTGGGCCCTTCTTGACTGGAGCACAACAACTTATCATGCGGGTGCTTCCGAATCCAGATTCCACAGACAGCTTTGCAGCTATCCGCCCTGAACAAGAATGCGGCGAGCCTTACTACGTGCGAGCTGGCTAGGCAAATCTCTTTGTAGACTGTTTCAGAACTCGTATACTTTGGAGGAGACGGTCCTGTAGGACAGGGCTGCATTGCAGCTTTGCAGAGGTGCAGCAGCTGCACAAGCCGTTTTAGCATCCGTGTGCAACGCAGAAGTTGTTCACAAAGAAGTACGTTCTGCTGGAAAATGTGCACATGCTGCAAAGCTGTTCTGCCACCGTCTTTTCTCCCCGGTTCTCCTATTACATGTCCCCCCCGATGGTGCTTTTGCTGTCGCAGGTGGCCCCGCCGTTGTGTAGGAGAGCCGCGGCTCAGCATTACTGGATGCTCAAGGCAGGAGCAAAATATGGGCGAGCGGGTATGCTCTACGGCTTTACCCAAGGCCACTCTATAGTTTTGGCAGAGGCAGTTAAGAAAAGCAGAAGCTCGTTCTCCAACTTCAGCATCAGGTGCAGAGGCCGCCCAGTGCAACAAGGCGTAAGTCAGGAACGTCCCATGTGGAGGGCCAGTCCAGGCTGCCAATGGTGGTATGTTCGACTTTAATGTCCTTAGGTCTGCTGAATCTTTACTAGGATCGGGGATATGTGCACTTTCTGGAATCGCAGCGCTACAACGAAGCGACCGCACGGCGTCTTGCATGCCGGCGAGGGCTTCTTTCTGCATATTCCCGGCTATTGCGGAGACCTGAAAACGCACTGCAGCAAAGTCCAATTTTATGGGAGCATGCATGTTGGATTATAGGGAATATCTGGCCTTCAGAGAAGGCGTTATTGAGAAGGGGTTTGGGTCTGGACGCACATCTTTAATCCACCTCATCGCTGCCCACAAAAGAAACAAGCGCCTCACGTCCGCTGTTTTTGATTCTTTGCCCTATGTACAATCAACGAAAACCCTCATTCTTGCATTTTATTTCCCCTCAGGCTTTACATTTGTTTTGAACTTGCACTGCGATCGCAGAACAAAGAGGGATTTTGAGCTAACCAGTTGGAGGAAAGCTGGCAAGTTTCTCGCGAGCTTAGCTGCCTGTTCTAGCACCGCCACCGCCTTCGCTGTCTTTTGCATCTCTGTAGAGTTATCCAGATCATAAAGGGTTTCTCCAACTTCAACATGCTTCTCAAAGTGTAGGCCGTGGGGTGAACTGTTGGAGGCGTTGACAGATGTTGCACCATCTGCAAAAATTAGATTGTCCGAATGTGCATGTAGCATTAAAAGTCGTTTGCAGCACTGTAACATTCCTCTCTTAACTTTGCGGAGCTCTCTAGTTTCGGAAGGTAGTAGTAAGATTCCCGGAGGGCTTGGCATTCCAGCAGGACACGCTCCTTCGGCTATGGTGTCGTACCAGGGGGGCATCATCCACTCCGGACAAGGGTGAAATGCAGTGGTCCGCGTCCGCAAGTGAGCAACCAAATCGTCTTTCTGCCCCTGCCGAGTAAACTGGCTCTGAAACAAGGAAAAATACACAACAGCAGCTATGTACTTTTATCTCACATGCAAAATACTTGAGAACTGCTCCGCGTGAGCACCATGCCGATAATGAAGTAGTGGGCGTCATTTGATTCAGAGCGCAGCACTTCGCTCATTCGAAATGGTGGTCAATTCACAGGTATGCAGAGCTGCCTATGCTTTGGTGGTGGCCTTCTGAAATGCTGAATTTCAGTTATCGTGGTGTGGGAGCATTCAGGTGTATTGCCCACACGTACTGGTCTGCCTAGTACCATGCCCCCGGTCCTGAACTTCGCATCATAGGTACCGGGGGATTGTTTACTATGTATTTATGTTTCGGTTTATTGCCTGAAAAGGTAAATGAGAAAACTGTTTTCCGTAAAAGTATACCTGTCCCCTTGGTTTTTCCATTCCGCCACTGGCTAGCTCTCTGGCATCTCCCGGCAGCCACATCTGGTTCCCCTCAAGCCTTCTAATTAATTTGATGATAGCTGCGGTTGTGGATCCGTTGACGCATTGCAGACGTTCTTTTGCTGTTGTAGCTACTGCAGTTGCTCCGTGTAGATGCATATCCAGAGCACCTACCGCCCAGAAGAGACCCCCTAATGCGTCGTACAGTGCAGAGCCTGTCTTGAGCATTGTCTTTGTGTGGAGACAGTCGCAAAAAAGTTTCAAGCTACTGCAGAGATTTAGTGCATGCTCTTTGTTAAGAAATATTGAAGTGGGGCACACCACGATCAGTTAATTGACGGGGACTGCCCCAACGAGGCGAACTTAAGTGCATGGTCAGCCGTCGCACACACAGTACGGGAGAGAAGGATAACTAAACCCAAAAGCGTATTATAACCGTTTGCAACTCAATGTGATCCATCTTAAATATTTCCGGTGAGCAAAACAAGTAGAGTAGGCATTCTCTTAAAGTGTGTACCCTTGATGTGCGTAGCCATTGCCACCCGCCTAGCATTGATATTGGCGAAGCCGTACGTACATAGGTAAGTGAGCTCCTCCCTTTTATGTCTCGGACTTTCTAATTCATATGCAGCTTTCAGCTCTAGATCTACTGTAGAAACCCCCTCCCCTCCCGCCGGGGCGCACCTTCGTTCCGAGATGCTGACAGTTTTTGTGCAAAACATTGCCAGCACCCCTATCCTGAGGAGGTACGTAAAGCTCTACGTATTCTTGCACTCATTAAAGTGAACTCGTGGTGTACATACTGCAAATATACCCCTTCGAACAACTCGACAAGTATGCTAAACAACTGAGGCCGTATATGGGTTCAAAATACCTCTCCTTTGCGACGGGCACCAGTGTGGATAGCAATGAGCAACTGCAACTGTTGTACTGCTGAAGCTTGAAGGCGAGGAAAGTTCAGTGCAACAAAGGAAATAATGCGCAAGAGGTTACAAACAGCAAAATACATGTGAATGAAGGAATAAATTCTTAGAATGCCTAGAGATACAGAGTCAACTGCGACCCTGGATGCAAATGCACAACGCTCCACCCGCAAGCATTGAGCGTAGTCCTATGGCAGCCTGTAAAACACCTATTTTACAGTGAAGCAGAACCATCCAGTCTGAGGGGTGTACTCGCAGGGAGCCATAACCGGCGTGCAAGAAGGTCTTTTCAGCGCACTGTTACGTTTCCACCTTCGCACAGTAGGAAGGTTAAACATACAGGCAAGGGGCTTGGCGGAAGCTCTTTTGGTATCCCCAGGCTAGAACTGGAGAGATAATATGCCTGGCGAAGGGCGTCGTTCCTTTGCTAATGCCTAGGACAAGCTGTACCTTCACTTTGGTTTGCATTTCGGGTTACCGACTCTAACTTCATTTTCTTACTCAGGGCTGGCACGACGAGGGCCAGTAAGGTATTGGCGCATATCTTTTTCACGGAATACTCTACAGTTTTTACCCTATTTTGGCTGTTGTTTGTCACTATTGCAGCTTGATTGAAGTGCTCATCTCTAGTGTTGCAACGGTCCTGGGTACCCGCATGAGCGACATAATCAATGACAGACGCTTGATCTCCCACAGTCCGAGTTACACTACTAAAGCTGCTGCCTTTTTCCGCAACTTATTCGGTAAGACGGACTTGTCCATATCAGCTCTGGATTCCGCTGACAGTTTCTCTAGTAAGGACGATTCCTGAGATAGTTTCCGAAGCGTACCGTTCTCCGGCAGCAGCTGCTCCTTCTCTAGGACATATTAGAAGTATCACGGGTTCTGCATCCAGACGAACGGGCTAAAGGCTACTGGATTCAGGGGGAATTGGTTCCCCCTGAATGTCTACGGGGATAAAACGCTCTCTCCCATTGCTTTAATGAAAGACACCTTAGCCATTGAAAACTTTGGGGAAAATTTCCCTTCGCACGCGGTGCTACATTGACTGACAGTGCCACGATAACCCACTAGTAGAGGCGCATAGAACTTCCACGCCCGTTGGACTGGAGATAACTGAGAAAGAGCTCAAATTCCCAATGCCAAAAAAATGAATGCAGATGCAAAAGAAATTAATATGCGTTTCGAATGAGTGAAGATGCGCTGATTTCCGTCTAAGTCGGTCGAATTACAAAACTTCGAGAGCATGTTAGCTATACTAATTATACAGTCTACTGAAGTAAAGCTTGTAAATGGGGCAACTACAAAGAGATGTCCGTATGGTTAAGTAGCGTGTGACGTAAAACATATGATGCCAAAGTCGCCTAGACGTAGAAGCGTTGTCGAAGCTTATAGTAGTGATAGGCGCTTTAATAATAGTTGCTGAGTAGTACTAAGGTGGCCACAAATGTGAGAGAAATCGGCCCTGCTTAAGCATGCAAATTGCCACCAGTCTCTGCTCGTGTGTTGCTGCGACCCTTAAATTAGAACAAACGTGCTACACAATATGGACCGAAATATCCATGTAGGGGCTTTCAACAAAATGCGGCCACCCAACAAAGCTTGCATCATGAACCAAGGGGTCGTCACTCGGGGGCGATGCGTTACCTGGCAGTCAGGGTCACCAAGGCACGCCTGCGCCTGGCATCACTCTGTAAAAACACGCAGAGTACAAATACTGGATGCCACGTAATGCTGGGATTTGCGTAACTACGATAAAACTACATTTATTTCGACACCAGTTGCTGGTGCACTTGGAAGGCGCGGCACATTTGCCACCGTGTACGTTTCCCCCTTAAGGAAAGAATTGAGTCCTTTGCAGGGCTGTTAGGACGCGCCGAACTGTTGACCGCACATCTTAGTCATGCGTGTTTACAAACCACACGCTTGCATGTGAAATTAACAAAAAAAGGATAATATTCAGTTTGGCTTGGGGTAAGGTGCAAAAAAAATTCTATGCAATTTGTCATGCTGAAAAGTTGCAAATAATCCAAGCGTCTGGCATGCATGCGACGAGCTCCTCACTTTTGTGCTCTTCTGGAGCAGGAGTCGGGCAATGTACAACGAAGATAGAGGCCACTTAGAGGTAGCAAGCGCCCTCGCACACTCGCACGGAAGTTCAGCAGTTCCTCAGTCTCGCATCGTACTACGGCAGCTTCATCCCTGCACTGGCTTGCGTCGCCGCCCCTCTGAGGGATCTACATAAGAAGGACAAACAGCTTATTTGGACAGAGACTGAGAGCATAGCCGCCAGCAGCCTCATCAGGCATCCGATATCATCCTTAGAAAGAGCTTCATTACTAACAGGAATCCGAAATTTGTTAGCACCTTCTGGAACACAACGTACCATCAGCTACCATAACCTGAGCAGTGTGCAGCACCCGGAGCCCGACGACCAAATGCGACGGGTTAACAGCCTGGTTGTGCAGGGCCAATTATTCAATGCAGTTAACAGCTAATCAAAGTAGGTAGGTTTCCTTGCTAATATGGCTTAACACCATAGACATGAAGCCCTTAACTCGATGCTCCCTAGCTTCATTGGTTTCCACCGACAGACCGATGTCTGACCAGACGATGAACCTCGTTGTTAGCAGCTAGCCCTGTATGCACGCTGCTGCAGACTTCCATGCGCAGCTTGTAGCAGCTCGGGGATGTATGAAGAAAGCCCAGGAGAGGCATGAAAGACACAACGGCAAACAACATGCGGCGACCACCTTTGGCCCAGGCGAGTTGTTTTCCGTGGATTCGCACTGTCTGCAAAGCGCGCAGGACGGCGAGTGACAGAGGAAGTTTGCCAACCGTAGGGTTGGGCCATTCGCTGTTCGTTCTCGCTTCAGCACGTTAGCTTGCATTGTAGCTTTACCCAGCGACGTGGAGATGCCACCGTAAGGAGATGCCACGGCGTCGTTTTTTTTTAAAGACAGTTCAGGGAATTATCCAGCATTCGTAGAGCTCCTTCTGCAAGAAGGCAATAATGTCATTGCACTATTCCCGTAAGAGCAGTGCACTGAGATCTGCAGTGGCCAACGCCCAAACCGCCACTGCGCGGGTGGAGCTGCCTGCACTGCGAAAGAAGCGTACATCACGGAGGGGAAATATTCGAAGCAGAAGAACAGGTTGATATTAATGTATGGGCTGATCGCCAACCAACAGCAGCAGCGCGCAAAAGGCTGTACGCGGCCCAAATTTGTGTTGCGCTGCCCATGGCCGCGCTTGCGGCCGCCGCCACTGGCTCGACAAGGGCCCCTATATCTTCCTGATTCATTGAGCAAAGGATCGTCAGGAACCCTCCAGATGCTGTTAGAAAGGGCAGTCAGCTAACACAATCGTAAACAATCAAAACAAAACTCTGCACTAAGCCGCATACGAGCTCTGCTTAGCTGCGGAGTGTAAAGTTTATTGCTTTCAAGCCGAAGGAATCCGTCGCTCTGTCGAAACCAACCCGCGCTTCGATTCTGATACAATTTATGAAGCCTCCCAACTTGCGTATGGGAGTATATGTTCGCTGTGTCAAATGCTCACACTGAGAGGAAAACCCTTCCACTTGAAGTCTTAGCCCACCGGGGTGCAAACAAAGTACTGGAATGCGAACTGTCGGATAAGAGAATGTGAAGCTAGATCTCCCTATCTGATCACTGAAAAATATGTCTCAACCCTTTTTCTCACCGGTAGTGGTAGAGAGCCCATTGAATGCTTTACGGAACGGACAAATTGAGCAGAATGTTGCGTCTGGCCTTATGATGCAAACAGGTACCCCAGATCACAATTAGGCACGCATAATACATCATTTTGTTGTTGTCTGCTTGAGGAATCCGGTGATCCTTAGCATAGAGTGGGTCGCATCTGATGGCGTCGCTTGCAGAAGTTAAAGGGGATGGCATTATTGCCGTGCCTCGGCGCATTGCAAGACTGCTGTTGGCTCTCTAGGGATGCATGTGGCGGGGATATTTTGATGCCGCGGTGATGTTGTGACCTCACCCCGTACGGGCTAACCACTCTGCGGCTTCAGCTGCCATCACCTGTGCTGAAGTCCACGCCCAGGCCCCCTGCCTGTATTGAAGAAGCTGATGCGTTCGTCTGCTGCATCGGCAAACTCTAAAAAAGTGGAGGTAAGTGCAAATATGCTACTGTTATGTTGAAGAATAGGGGTCAGTGTCGTCGTTGCAAGTTGCGTAGCCAGATTTCCACTTCTTAACTTGCATAATAGGCCAGATTTAATTGCATTTTCTATTATAGCAGGTGTACAATCATTGCAGAGAAGTTGAACAGTTGAGCGTCACCTCAAGCCTCATTTTCAACTATTTGACGCACGCTCAATCGCTGGGGCCCCCGAGTCCCTAGGGTGCTGATCGCACGCAAGGCCCCCAGGGGACAAATCTCGCTGATAATCTGTGAATATTATCAACAAATATCTAAATATTTAATTAAGAAAACCAGCTGAAAGCAATGTGCCAAAAAAATCACGATCAGAGGGCTTGTTCCATCCAAAGCTCCCCCTTTTTTGTCATCCCACTACGAGGATTCGATGGGTTCTAAAATGTGGGGGGATCGTAACATATTTCTTTCCAATTAGGCGTCTAGGCGGCACAATTGGTCATATCTGCTCTTCCCTTCATAATTTTACGTTGCTCCCTCGTGCTCCTATGGGCTTCCGATGCATCGCCGCCATTACAGTGGATCACGTTACCATGTTCAGCCGCATTCCTTCGCTTTCAACTCCACTCGGACGAACCGTGAAGCGGCACCTCATAATCCGCATCCAGTCGTGATCGTGGTATACCATATAGTTCCTATGGTGACAGCACGACGACGCAGGGGGGCGTTAGCCCTGCCTCTGCTGGAAAATCGTCTAGACTCCAATGCCTCCACTGCAGGTCCGTTTACTCTAAACAAGACAGACCCGAAAGTATCTGTGAGCGCAGCTCACGTGGATCGCGTGGGCCTCCATGTATCCCTTACGATACCTCTGGAGTCGTCCGTGACGCCTCGGGCCGCAACGAACCACAAATCTAGACCAGCTCGGAAGGAAACACGCGAACTATGGATGCCCTCGAGCCCGCTTGCCCTCCTTCCTAATGGAACGGACAAACAAAAAGACACATTAGTCGAACCAAATGCCGGCAAGTCCACAGACTCGGCTAGCCAACGAGTATCAACATCCACAAGCAAGCAAGCAACCCCAGGCTCGGTTAGAAAGAACGGGATCGCCCGTACTCGTCGTACTCCCTCAGCTGCTGCAAGAGCAGAACCTACCCTAGGTGAAATAAACACCTCATTGCGGCATTCTGAGTCCTCTGACATACTTAATAGCCCTGATGGCGCGCTTAGGACGCCAAAAAATAACCTGCACACGTTCGACAACCCCGAAGTCGATGCTCAATACTCGCCCTCTGCGCCCCCTCCAGGCCACAACAAACGTAGTAAAAAGCTGCAGTATTCTCCCGTTGCAATACCTTCAGCAATGCGGCCACCAGAGAGCATAGACGCCCGACGAGGGCGTCAGCGTTTGCCCCTTTCTGGTCAGCCTAGCCCCCACCATGTAATACTTAGTCGCTCGATGGTGCCTAAATCAAGCAAACGGACATGTTCTGGAAGGCTACATCTCTCAACAGTAACTAAATGTGCACGGCGGAATTCATTAAGAGCTGTCTTCTCTCCCGCCAACACGGCGCCAACGCCCACGAACACCAGCCCATCTTTCTGTTTCCTCAGAGCATCGATGGACTGTTTTACCTTAAAGAAGGTTCTGTGGGCTTACCGCATCATATTTGCAAGAGTCATCTCCGCATTTCGCACTACCAGAACATCTGGAGCCGCAAGACGTGCAGAATATGCACTTCTAGGGGCCAGTTTGGTGGCGTTACTCTTTTGGACGGACCTGACTCCACTGCCTGCAACCTTATGGGCAGGCCTGCATCGTTGCAACTCAGCTGCAGCTACTTCTCACTACGATTGGCAAAGAGCCACTGGCGCGTTTTTTCTTGCTGATTCACCAGAGCTTCAGCGCGAATGTTCGATTGTGGGCAACTTCTGCGCTGGTGGAGATGAAATACTGTGTGGATTCCCCGTTGATTCGTCCTCTAATGGCTGCGTCGCGTTGGGGCAGGACGTTGCAGCAAAAAGTAAAGGGGGATCAATTGACTACGCGCAAACATCTGGAACTGTTTCTCACGGTGCCCTCGTGGTATCGCAGCTGCTCCACAGCGTGGCTTCATTCGCAATGCCCAAACTCGGGCATGCAGCTATGGTGAAATCGCCTCCCCTTAATACGGTTTCGGAAGGAGGAGTCACGAAGCTTCTCCAGAGCTACTATCCCCTTTATAATCACACCAACGATCCAGGTTGTCTCGTTGCAGACAACGATGCGACGTATGTAATCCAAGATAAGCACGGTCAAATAACCATTGCCCTCGCTCGCCAGTCTCTCATCTTTGCAGTTGCGATGGAAGCACCTACAACAACGGATCCTGACGGACGATGCGAATCCGTAGAAATGCGGTGGTTTTCCGTTTACGTACAATTAGAAGGACAGGAAAAGACTGCATGTCGAGTGCCTTCCCCCAGAGGCGACGGCTTGGAGAAGGGGCATGCTGGAAACGAGGAGTGGTGTCGAGTTGGGCGTTTCGAATACCGCTGCCAAAAACAATCGGCCCTACAAGTTTTTTGTTTAGATAACCCACCTGGACCACCTAGACAGCCCCCACCGTGGGCTTCTAGAAGGAGTACAGCCTGTAGGAATGGAAAAGCCTGGCAGACACGACGAGTGCGAATTGTATTGAACGAAAACTGGGGAGCCAGCGCGACTCGCCTTCGTCGGCTGAGAGTGCTTGCATTCCCGTAATATTCTTATTTTTACCGGAAACAATTTTCAGAGGGGCCAATCGCAAATGGGAAAACAGTGTGCAAAGATTAAGCTCACTCGTGAAGTGCATGCTCCAGCAGTGGGTCCTCATGCTCTATTCGTGAGCATGAAGGGTCAGGGAAACCAGTATTCAGGCAGCTTTCGAGAAAAGAGGAAAAGGGGGCTGTCATTCTTGTGCAAATACTGCACAGAGCTCAACTTGCTCATCAATTTCCTTCGCACCTCACAAAACCCTGAGTATTGTGCGCCGACACAGAAGTAAGGGGTGACTCTCGGATAAATGCGAGTTTCGCATTGCCGGATGACGGAGGTAAGCCACGCAGAAGGACTAGAACTAATTCAGCTGTCAGGCAAGCCAAACTTCGTGAGCAGAAGCATCAGCCGCTGACGGCACTCAAGCTATAAACTGTATTTATTTTCAAGTTCAATGCTATCGCAGTCTAGGAAGGCGCTGCCCGCACGCTACTGTTATAAAATGCCCTACTACCACACACTCGTTTGAGCTGGAGAGTCCGAAGGTATTGTCTTAAAGCAGAAGCCTTGTCAACTAAAACCTGAGGTACTTATGGGATAGAGGGTGGTAAATACGAGTGGCTCCAGGCATCACCCTAACAAGAAAGCGGATATTTCCATCATGGACCTAGCCAGGCAGATCCCCCGGCCGGGAGTTGAAGGCACACGGTCAGGCACAGAAGTCATTTGATTGAACGTCACTGTCTCAACAAAAAAGAGCTAGTTGAGACCCTGTTGCTATTTTGGACTGCTTGGTCACAACGCTGTGACGTGGCATGATAAGGCCCGAGCAACTGCAGTGCACGAGCAGGTGCGCAGGCGGCGCATTTCTTGTTGGGGCTACGACCGGAAAATTGTCTAGCCTCATCGTCCCAGAATCGCAGAACGCTTTATCTTACGTCCCCCATAGTACACATTCCATATACCGACGGTTTGGGTTTGGGCTCACCATACTAGATTGTCGTGGATAGTGCCAACAAGCTCATATGCCTCTGCTAGGGGCATGTTAGTGTACGGTATCGTTGAAAAGGCAAACAAGAAGCTATATTCTAATGGCTGGCTTTGGTTTCTACGCTGCCTTCATTACAATTCTGCACGCGGAAGTTTTTTCATGCTGCTGAGATGAAATTTAGAGTCTCTCGGCCGGGATGTTGAGTTGTGCAATACATAGTGGGGAGTAGTGAACACCAGCCCTAAGCTGCTGCACAATAGGAATACACCTTATGCTGCAAGTGCTAGCCGAGGAGACTGAGGTGAAGGTTTCTGAAGTTGTCGCCTCAGCTTGATCCATGTTTCAGTAGACGGCTCGCTTCACTATGGTAACGCTGCTGTGAAAGCGAAACATTTACAGACGGTTCTTGACTATTTATATAATAATGCTTTCAATGAAGTGAATGACGGTTTGCTTTCCTTCCCGACCAGGTGAAGCCTGACTTCCCTCACAGAGATGGACCATTGTCCACAACTCTTTTTGTCGCTGTGACTACTTTTGTAAGAGCGAGCTCTGCTGATGCTCTCTAGCTGGAAAAGGCTTCGCGTAGTGTAAGGCTGCAGCGCCAACTCCCGCATTACACCGAACCCTTTTTACCCAAGCACCTCGCTCCTTTGTGTGTAGTAGAGCGATGTTCGGCAGCTGAAACCAGGTTGACCCCCGCAAACGCTGACCCATTGCAGGCACATTTGGATGAATTTTCGTACGTACTCAAGGACTTTCCTTCTTCTGAAGCAGCAGGGCTTCTCCAGTACATGACTTCTGATGGTGCCTATGATGCGTGTATGTTTCGTCCAAAAAGGATGAGGGCGTAGGCTCACGGCAGAAGTACAATCTGGCGCACGTCTCCAGCATTTACTTTTTTCTAGTTGTTCTAAGAGATAAAAACTCCGGCAATTCTAGCTTGTGCGGCAAATTCTACTGCATTTTTGGTGGTGATCTATTTTCAATACTATACGATTCGCGTTGCTGACGAGGTACCCTGCTAGACCATCCCCTCAATATACTGATTGGTGCTTTTCATGCACTCACTCAGCAGACTCTGAAGCTGATGCTGAGGATCTCCAGGTTGCACACGCTCAGTCTGATGCGCATAGCTTCATTTTTCCTCGTGCTCAGGTTAGCTACTCAGGGCTAAACAACTGCTTAGCTATTGCCTACGGGCTAGCTGGTGCTTCAAAGAGGGCTCGAGGTGCTTGCATGTTGGGTTGACTTGTAGCAATGCGCTCCAATTCATGAATCCCCGCCTGCTCGCCGTACCAGCTCCGGGCTGTTGTGTTGCCGTGCTTCCAGCACTCATGGAGCTTCCATGGGAAGTCAGCGCATTTGCATGAACTCTTCTCCTAATTATTTCGGCTCTGTGCCGTTCGGTAAAATGAAAGACTATCGTTTGCCCTGGTTGTACAGCATGTGGTTGAAACCGGCAGGCGTAAACGGCCAGCGCTCGAGAGCTGAAACAATGTATGGCACTTGTCGCAGAGACTCTTTTCCCGAAAGAAGTGAAAAATTTAAAGGTACTCTCTCTACAGTCGTTGTCGAACACTCAGCCCCGCTTCTGTCTGTAACGAAAGAGATTCACCAGGATCTGACCTCGTGAGGGGAGGCTACGAACGGCTGGGCGCCTTGTTGCATTGGAACGCGGTGGTATGAGAGAGCAATGCATGAACGTTGCCGCAGCCTTTGTCAACGGTCCAGATTTTTCACACTTAATGCTGTTTTCAAGAAGACAACAGTTCCAGCGGATGCGATTCTTTAGCCACTCCACGAAGATGCGAAGACAGTTCAGGAGAAAGAGCTCTCTCAGCGTGCAGCATGGTGGCCACCTTCTGACCTGCCATTGCACCACCTCAAAACCCCTCACGCTGCAGCGCCAAGCTTTGGTCCGAATTACAGGTGACTCGAGCATGCTGAAGGGGGAGACGACGGTCAAACACCTAAAATGCTACGCAAATGCAAAGTTCAACGCCCAGTTAGCCCACTTCCAAGCAATACTGTGGGCTTAGCTGACGATTTGTCGCCGACGTGAATGGACGCCAACTACACGCAAGAGCTTTCATTCCACACCCGCATCCTCCAAAATGAGTATGCCTGCATGCTTCTTCAAATGGTAAATGCTCTTGCCGACCTACAGCAAGAGCCTACTCACGACATTTTGGGCCGAATTAATGAACGCTGGAAGACCCCAGACTCGGACGGTGCGGTTGGGCTCATCCTCGCGCATCTGCAGCACCTGCGGCCTACGCTGCATCGGTTGCGTTCAAACCGGAGCTCCGTAGCAGCGCATGAATGTTCGTGCCTCCTGCAAACGATCAGTCTGTGGAGTCTTTGCGTCTTTATTGCTGGAGTCGAAGCATGACTAGCGATGTACCAATCCGGCGTGCCTACACCGCTGTCGAAACGCAAGCGCGTTCAAAACAGCCTCGCCTCAGCATTACCATACCGTCAATTAATACCCGGATCTGCCTGGAGTGATGTTCGCCTAAAGGATCCACTCGGAGAAGCCGGTAGAAGCCTAAACAAGAACCTGTAATCCCCAGCAGTACTGGCATTCCTTGATTCCGGCAACCCCTCACACCACAAAACAGATTCCACTGACAAGGCAGTTGGAGTGCCTCTCTCTTCACAGGCCAACAGCTTCCCAAAACTCATGCATTTTCCAAGAAAGAGAGTAGATGGAACCAGTACGTGGATTGGATTGGACTGGACGTGGTCTCTTGGACGCTAAGTGTAATGTTGCACACTACATTTTGCTGTCGAACAGACCACGTAGGTGTGCCTTCCCATCCCCCCTAATGCGTGCAACAAAGTCTCCATGACAATCTTGGAACAAGATTTTTGCAGTCATCGGGTTCCTATGAGGGCCTCCGTGGATGCCTCACTGACATTCACAGAACGTTTACCATTGGGCTGAGCCTGTAACTATTTATTTGCTGCCGAAGGACACAGGAAATATGGTAACGTCGATTCCTATTCAAATTCGCTCGCATCTCAGGCAAGCGCTCACTTATTCAATGCCAATATTTCCTAGCTCTACGCACTTCAGAACAACCACCATTAGTGGCATGACTCCGACGTTTGTTGTGAGCACCTTGGGCGACTTCCTGACTCCCTTCAGCATACCCCATAGCATGACCACCGCGAACCAACAGAAGCCAGGCGACCAAGCAAAAAGCACTAACCTCACGTATGCGTGCGGCAAACTCCCTTCACTATGACCACTAAAGGCCAAGCAAACGTTTGCTTGTTTGGGCCTCTGAATATCAGCGCTCTGTGAGTGTACTTCAGCCTTACCGGGGGTTATACAAACGAGTAGCAGGCAGTTCTGTAGCCTTTCAGCACCGCGCCTCCCATACATTTGGCCGTAGAGGAAAAACTACTCATTAAGCACCTTTCATTGGTTAGTTCATATGAGGGCCCTAGCCTCGACCGGATGGCAATAGAATGGTACAGTAAGGTGAGCTAACACCGAGAAGGAATGTTGCGGATAAGCAACCCCGCAACGTCTCCGTCCCCCCCTTGGCTAGAGTCAGTTAAAACATAAAGAGAACCTCCTGGCATAATCAAATACTTCGACTGACCTCTTGCCAGTTCCTAAGGCCATCTCCTTGTGTCCCACTCCACGTAACCCCGCCCTGGAAAGTATCACTTGTCTCTCAGCCGCAATCTCCTAATGCAGACACTACTAAGGTAAGAGTTACACACATTAGTAACCGGGAAAAGTACCTCATGAATGCGAAGCGATAGGAAGATAACCCGAGAAATGAACTCCCCCAATCCCCAGCTTCAATGATGGTCTTTAGTTGCATCCGAGGACGAATGCGAGGTGCAGTACATCCAACATACTCGTGACAGCCTCATTCCAAAGACAGCTGCACGTGCTGCCTATCCTCAAGTGTCCTGGGTATGGCAACCCCAGCTGGGACTGGGGGAGAGGTGGCGGCGTGTTACAACGCACTTCGAATGCATTTCGGTACCA